AGGGGCTCACATGCACTGGATGGTTAGATTATTTTTGGATGCTGGCTTGTCAGCAGCGGTGTATATCTTACTGCATTATTCTGACCTCCCCTTTCCCTCTCTGCAGCTGAAGGAAGTCTGATGAATAGCGGCAGCTTTAGTAGGAAGTCGAGCACTGTTAGGAATCTTGGTGGTTTTTCTGTCACCCTAGCCAGTGTTCAAATTCCCACACGCTTCATGAAATATGTGACTCCTCCATGACTTAGCTGCTTGGTGGGTTTTCCCTTTTCACAGATCAATTTTTGGTCAGCAGCTTGTTGCCAACATCAGAACGTATTTAACATTATTCTAGAGAAGAGGAGTCCCTACTTTTACAATGAAAAATGTGTACTAAGCTTCTGGGGCATTTTACAAAAAAGACGAGGGTGAGTGGGGAAAATGTCTCCAGTCCTTCCCTTTTTTCTCCCAGGAAATGCTTCTGGTGGATTCATTTTCATCCCTTTGAGAACATGCCATGTTGTGACAGTGTTTTAGAATGGAGAGCAGGTCTGTGGGAGTCTTCCTTTGCCGTTTCTAGTGAGGGAAAGCCACCAGGGCCCCTGCCTCCTTCCTGGGCGCGAATACGCAGGCTCACGAAGCAGGCAGTGCAGCTCCCGCTTCCCTTCTCCCCTGCCAGTCTTACTCGTGAGATTGCTGGCTCTGACATTGATTCCTAATCCTGCGGCCCCGGATATATTGCACGTTGACATGCTGCATGATGTGATTCTGTCATCTGTGGTTTCTCAGTTGTTAGTGCAGTTGGTCTAAGTTGATGCCGTTGGTGACAATCAGCAGAACCACTGTAGCTAGTTTTTGCTAACGAGGGGATCCATTTATAAAGATACAGGTGTGGTTCATGGAACTGTGGGCCAGAGGCGAGGGTGGGCCTCGCTAGAGCCTGGAAAGCCATGGAGTCCAGGCTGTGACTGCTTGTGTGTCTGGGTTGGGCTTTTATCTCCACGTATCTTCTTCACGTGTCTCATTCTTTGCAGAACAGCTTTCTCTGTGGCTCCATATTTGTGGCCAAATCTGCAAGTCTGTAGTTGAAGCAGCCAGTTTGATTAGCTTCTCTTGGCCTTTCAGCCAAATTAATGGGGAGATAAAACGATTAACCGTTTGCTGGTACTGCTGTCTGTTAGCCCACGCAGGTAATGGGGAGGTGGTGACTCTCTCCTGGAGGTGGGGCGCAGGGGACAGTTGTCTGGGGAAGGGGCGTTTGGGGTAGGACAGAGTTCTAAAAGATATCTCCTAATTGTCTTGTTTATGGAATGTAAACAAAGAATATCACTAACCATTTCAAGAATTGATGTATGTAGGTAGTTTGGGGTAGTATAACATCTTTATCATCGGAAGATGATAACTTCCTTGGACGTAACAATAGGGTAGTCTTCTCCGTGCTGGCTTCAGTTCCAAGCACTAAAGATGATTGCTAGAGTTTTCTAACAGCTGATTGAATTTAATGACTAGCTTTGCTTTCCTCAGAGAAAGATGATAAACCTGTCAAAAATACTTGTGCTTTAATTTAGTTCTTTGTCAATGACAGATGATGAAATCTCTCAATGAGAATTTCTAAGTTACCGAAACACTCATAGCATTTACATATGCAAAAATAGTCCCTCTTGTGTAACCTAGAGCAATGCATCAGGGTCATCTGGGGAGCTTCTACAAAACCTGAGGCTGAGCTGCATCCCCCGCACTCTGATTCCTCAGGCTTGTGTTGGGGCCTGAGTGTCTGCAGAGGTGACAGGCTCCCCAGATGATCGTGTGACGCTCCACAGGTTTGAGAACGCTGCCTCAGAGAGGCTTGATTTATTGGCATCTCCTGGGATGGAAATCATCGTCGTCTCCAAAACAGACCACACGCAAAACAGGTTCTGTGAAGACACCATGACTTTGCTTTTGTTCTTCAGCCTCAGGACGGGCTGTCTGGGCTCTCCCTGCCTCAGCCGTACCCAGGTTTCTTCTAGTGCCCTGCTTCAGTCTGAATCAACAAATTCAGAAAACTCATGCCAACCAGAGACTTCTACCCAAAACAAACCAAAAATATTCCATTTTTATTTGTTGACAAAGCTGGTTGTGTGTTGTAGAATTTCCCACAGTCAGGATTTGATTGGTTGCATCCCCATGGTGTCATTTAACATGTTTCTCCGTCCCGGTATTCAACCTATAAATTGGTAGGTTGACATAGCAGCTCAAACAGATTGAGATCAGATATTTTGGCAAGAATTCTTCATAGATGGTGTGGTAGGTTGATGAGGGGGCCCAACATGCCTCTCTTTTTGTTATGTTAACATTCTTTTTCCAGTTTTTTACTGTATGATAGTTTTTATTCTTATTATGGAAAAATTTGATTTTGACCCACTAAATTGATTTACAACCCACTAATAGATACAAGCCCTAGTTGGAGAAACACTGTCCTAGAGAGGGAGATAAGCATGCACATGGGTACTTAAAAAGTAATATTATAGGTGCTAACAGAAGAATGTATAACATGAATATTCTAGGATGGGGATCAATTTGTTTATGAAAGTAATGAAAATCTACATAAAGATGTAACCCCTGTTGAACATCTTAAAGTTAACAGCCATTTATGATTGTTGTTTTGGTCCATTAATTCATTAAGCATTGCTAATTATCTTTGAATATCTGATAAACACTGAACCCAGCATAGAAGCATTTGAAGATATTTTTATTGAGAAACAGTGACACAGAACCTGGCCTTGATTCCTTATTAGAAGTGATTGCATCCCATTGCACTGCCATATGGTTTTAGGTAACTTAGAATGAGGAAATATGTTCCCGGCCGCCTTTACTGAGCCCTGGTATGCTGCAGAGTGGATGGCTCATTATTGACTTAATACGTTCATATTGAGTTGGCCAAAAAGTGCCTTTGGTTTTTAAGTAAAAATAAAAGACTTATTTTTCATTTTCACCAAGAACTTTATTGAATAACGTATTCACCCTTTGTTCCACTACCTTCTGCCATTTTTCAGGCAACTTCATAATTCCATCTTCCCAAAACCTTTTATCTTTTTGAGCAAAGAACTGTTCCAGTTGCCTTTTACAGTCTTCCAGGGAATTGAAATTTTTTCCACTAAGAAAGTTTTATGAAGACCAAAATAAGTGGAAATTCGAAGGTGCAGTGTCTGGTGAATATGGCGGATGAATCAGAACTTCCCAGCCAAGCTATAACAGTTTTTGCCTGGTCATCAAAGAAACATGCGGTCTTGCGTTATCCTGATGGGAGATGATGTGTTTTCTGTTGAGTAATTCTGGACGCTTTTCATCAAGTGCTGCTTTCAGTTGATCTAACTGGGAGCAGTACTTTTTGGAATTAATTGTTTGGTTTTCCAGAAGGAGCTCATCATAAAGGACTCCCTTCCAGTCCCACCATATACACATCACCTTCTTTGTTGTTTGTTTAAATTACTATTATTATTTTTATTTTTGGCTGCATTGGGTCTTCATTGCTGCACGTGGGCTTTCTCTAGTTGGGGTGAGCGGGGGCTACTCTTTGTTGCGGTGCGCGAGCTTCTCACTGCGGTGGCTTCTCTTGTTGTGGAGCACAGGGTCTAGGCGCGCGGGCTCATAGAGCACAGGCTCAGTAGCTGTGACGCACGGGCTTAGTTGCTCTGCGGCATGTGGGATCTTCCCGGACCAAGGCTCAAACCGGTGTACCCTGCATTGGCAGGCGGATTCTTAACCACTGCACCACCAGGGAAGTCCCAACATCACCTTCTTTGGTTGAAGACCAGCCTTTGGTGTGGTTGGTGGTGGTTCATTTTGCTTACCCCACGATCTCTTCAGTTCCACATTATTGTACAGTATCCACTTTTCATCGCCCGTCACAATTTGTTTTAAAAACGGAACATTTTCATTACGTTTAAGTAGAGAATCGCATGCAGAAATACGGTCAAGGAGGTATTTTTCCACTTAACTTACGTGGAACCCACACAATCAAAGTGATTAACATAACCAAGCTGGTGCAAATGATTTTCAACGCTTGATTTGGGTATTTTGAGTATGTTGGCTATCTCCCGCGTGGTATAACGTTGATTGTTTTCAATTAATGTCTTAATTTGATCGCTGTCAACTTCAACTGGTCTACCTGACCATGGAGCGTCGTCCAGCAAGACATTTCCAGCACGAAATGTCACAAACCACTTTTGACACGTTTGATCTGTCACAGCACCTTCTCCATACACTGCACAAATCTTTTTTTGCATTTCAGTTGCGCTTTTACCTTTCTTGAAATAATAAAGCATAATATGCTGAAAATGTTGCTTTTTTCTTCCATCTTCAATATTAAAATGGCTACACAAAAATTCGCCAATTTTGGTAAGTCTTTTTAAATGCACGCTGATATGACAGCTGTCACATACAATCTAACAGAATTATTTCAAATGAAGTTAAAGACAACTAAGTGCTACTAGAGCCATCTTCTAGAAAAAACCCAACAAACCTTTTGGCCAGTTCAGTAGTTTCCTGTTCTTACCTTCAACCCCTTTACACAGGGTCATTTTCTCTCAAGAGCACACAACAATCTTCTTTTGTTTTCCATCCTTGATTCTCACTGGAGAAAGAGGGGAATCATTCTGTGGACTGTCTTCTATTCTCTTTCTGATTCTGCTGAAGCTGCTTTCCTTTGCTCTGCGACTTTTGTTCCTTTATATGGGGAGTGCCCATCCCTGTCCCTCCACTTGGGACAACTGATAGTTGTCAATTCTAAATAATTAGTGTAATACATTGAACCAACTTGTTGAAATTTTCTGACTTCCTTTAGTTAAAAATACTTAAAAAAAAAACACAACACTGTAAATCAACTAAACTTTAATTAAAAAACAAAACTTAGCTTGTCACATAAACAAAAAGCTCCTGAGTGAATATGATGTTTTAGTGTGTATTATGAAAGTATGGCTTTATGTTATTCATTTTGAGCCCTTAAATAAACAAAAATATTACCCCTTTCTCTCCTCTTTTAGGAAATTCACGCAAACGAAAAGGAAGTAACAGAGAAGGAAGTAACTCTTCACTTGTTGCCAGGTAACAGTCATGTTAGCATCTTACCTCATGTGCAATTCAAAGCCAGTGATAAATTGTGTCATCCCTAGTAGCACTATATATAAACTCCTTTGTTTTCATCCAGACAGTGTGTGACAGTAATGAGTTGGACAAAAATATCAATGTCTTTAGTTCAGTAACTGCATACCTGGGACTGAGTATTCCAACAGCTACAAAGAATTTTTGTTTCCCCTTCCCCATAGCTGATGAAAATAAACATGGGAAATTCTCACCTCTTTTGTAAGCAAATGAGGTCTTTTTTCAGGGTGCCTTACTTGGCCCCATCCAGTATTCTGGTCCCCAGTCAGGAAGATCCTGGTCCCCTGCAGATCCCTACACCCAATCCCTGCTGGGGTTTAACCAAACCCTGGGACTGCCAGGGCTTTGCTCTTCGGTCATCACCAAGGAGCCTGGATTGGTTGGATTTCTCCCTCCCTCCCTCCCTCCTTTCTTTCTTTCTTTCTTTCTTTCTTTCTTTTTCTTTCTTTCTTTTCTTTCTTTCTTTCTTTTTCTTTCTTTCTTTCTTTTCTTCTTTCTTTTTCTTTCTTTCTTTCTTTCTTTCTTTTCTTTCTTTTCTTCTTTCTTTTTCTTTCTTTCTTTTCTTTCTTTCTTTCTTTCTTTCTTTTTCTTTCTTTCTTTTCTTTCTTTCTTTCTTTCTTTCTTTCTTTCTTTTCTTTCTTTCTTTCTTTTCTTCTTTCTTTTTCTTTCTTTCTTTCTTTCTTTCTTTTCTTCTTTCTTTTTCTTTCTTTCTTTCTCTCTCTCTCTCTCTTTCTCTCTCTCTCTTTCTCTCTCTCTCTTTTCCTTTCTCTCTCTCTCTTTCTCTCTCTCTCTTTCTCTCTCTCTCTTTCTCTCTCTCTCTTTCTCTTTCTTTCTTTCTGATGGAGGAGAGTGCATCTATAGGTTAAGTCAAGTTTTAATCATTTCTGAATTCAGAAGCAAACTTCTTGGTGGTGTAGCCTCTCCATATATGGGGCTATCCAGTGAGCTGTGCATTCGATTGTTTTGCTACTTTCTTTTTTCCAGTCCCAAATAGCTTTTTTCATAAGTATTTTTAGATACATTTCTCAAAACAATTGAGTCCTCATTCTGGTTCTTTTAATTTTATTCCATTTTATTGAGAAGATATGAACATGTACAAGTTTCTGACTGATCCACCTTATTTGGTAAACATATCAGAATCTCTGACTTTTTAAAAAATGTTTTTAAGTTGCAAAGGCTTTTCCCTATAATAATGGCCTCAACCTCAATCCATATATCCTATTGTATTTCCTCTTCTTGGGCTATATTGTAGATTCTGAAGTTTACTTCTGTCTTTAGCTTAGTGTTATGTACATTCTCCATCCCCCGGATTCCTGACGGCCTCTTCTAGGTGTGCAGCCCAGGTTTCCTAGACTAGACTATGAGCTTTTCCAGCTCGTGCCTCCCATGACCTGAGACCTTGAACGTACAGGCTGACAAGTGTGGTGCAGGTCACCGTGCTTGCAGAGCCTCTCCTGGATGTCGTTTTAGCCCCTGTGTGCCAACTTCCGGTCTCCATTGCCTGACCATAGACCCATATGGCTTGCCTGGTCTTGGGAGAGGCTCACCATTAAAGTTGTTTTACACCAGGAGTTGAAGGCACAGGAAGCCTTGCTCACGTGTCTTCTACCTCGGATTCAGCTGAAGCACTTTTTCTGGGACTATTTTAAACCCTAATGAGGCTCTGACTTCACTGTTTTCTTCAAGTCCGGTGGTCTCTGTAGAGGCTGACCTGGTGACAGAGCCATCTTCCTGTATTTCCATTGTAATTAACCCCTTGGAAGAGAGAAAAAAACAAGATGAAATATAATATGTGTCCCCTGCTAGTCTTAGTGTCTGGAATTCTTCTTTGTTTTCATATTCAGAGTTAGAATAAATGAATTTTGAGCCAAATGGTAAATTTAAAGACATTGAAGGAAATATCCAGAGGGAGATTCTAAGGAGAAGATGGTTACCTGTTGGATGAGAAGAAAATTCCTTTTTCTTTCTTGTCACAAAGTATTTACACTTAGTCTTTTTTTTTTTTAATTTTACACTTAGTTTTTCATTTCTCCTGTATCCTTCTTTTTTTCCTGCCCTTATGCAGGCATCCAGCCCTCATGAGCCTCTCCACTTCCTGCCTATCCCTAAATCCTCATCTTTTTGACTATAGTGAGAAGTACTCTCTATCACCAGGAAATACAGCTCTCATGCTGCTGGGCGTCTGCAGATAGAGCAGGAAAGGTGACACACTGAGAGGAAATACTCTCAACTAAGAAAGAGAGGAAACAGGTTTTTTTCCCACAAACCTCTGACCTCCCTTTTCCTCCCATCCTTGTCCGTGGAGCCAGAATGAGTGCAGTCGTGCTGCACCCTCTGTGCCTGAGGAAGCTGCCTTAGGGCCCCAGGCCAGGGAGGCACCCGCCCTCTTTCTGCAGTTCCGGGGTGAGGAATGGCCCACCCTCACAGGAAGGGGGGCTCCAGAGCTACGTGCCAGAGCTCGCTGGCCAGCCCTTCTGGCTTTGCTCACTTGGGTGCCACTTCTCCAGAACTTCTGCTTGGGTCCGGGTGATGGAAGCACTGAGATCTGTGTCTGTAAGTGTAGCCGGGATCATTTCTACCTGTTTGGACACGTCCATTATTCACAGTGAGAAGATAGAGAAGCGCCCCGTGTAAAAGTGTGTCCGAGTCATTGTGATTTCACGTTTCCGCGGTCCCCAGTCTCCTTCCTTTTCTTCCCTAGGTTTTGCAGCCCCCGTGTGCTGTGTTGTAGTGTGTGTTTGCCTTACAGGAATAGAGCCGGGAAGCTTGTACTGTTTGCGTTCTGCATGTTGCCTGAGGACTCTAAGGAGGACTTGTTTTGGTTTTGATCAGGTGAACAGCTGCTCTGTGAAGCCAGCACAGTACTGAAGTGTGTCCAGGAAGACTCCTGTCAGCGTGGAATCTATGGGAGGCTTGTCTGCACAGACTTCAAGATTGCTTTCTTGGGCGATGACGAATCTGCATTGGATAATGATGTATGTACGAGCTGCACTCGGCTGAGTTTGTGGGAGCATTGCATTGGTGGCCCCATTGTCTTTTCTTCCAGCTTCTCAATAACTCGCCCCTAACGCACGTAAACACAAAGGCCAGAGTCTTTCTCACCACTAGTCTGCTCTCTCTCCTTTGGGATCTCCTTTCGGTGGGAGGACCACTCTGCAGTTTCCCACCAGTGCCTCACGTCACGCTGGCTTGCGTTTGACCTCATAGGTTGACACCGTCAGCTTTTAATTTTCTTCTGTATTTCAGCACAGTACCTATCACTCATGGGAATCACATCTCCCCAAATATACTAGTTCCCCATGTTTTCTCTATATTGAACTCTCCCTCAAATTTAGGAACTGAATTCAGTTATGACACTGGTGCTGAATGCAGCACTGAGTTTGGGTTTACTTTGCGTTTGCTCTGTGCTTGTAAGACTTGTCCGCCTTAGGAAGAGTGAGCAGTGGAGTGAGGAGGGAGCATCTGCACCCCTCAGGGCGCGCTGGTGGTAATGGGAACCGGCTGGCCCGGCCACGCCAGCATCCTGCCACCTGACAGCGTGGGCTTCTGTGCAGCTGTTGCTGTAGCGGCCTGGTTCCTAGTCCTGTACAGAGGCAGCATTTACAGAGCTTGAATCTCCTGGGGTTTTCTTCCTGCCTTCTCGTAGCTCTGTCACTCACCTGTCTGCATTTGTGTGGAGAAATCTGAACCTATGTGCCACCTGCCAGCATCTCTCAGGGTGTTGTGCATGCGGCCTGGTGGGTTGGCCTGGGAGCAGCCGGCAATGGCATGTCCTGCCTGGGTTTGAAAACGAGTGTTCGCAGCATTTCTCACACACTTCACTCCTTCATCGTCCCTTTCCTAGGGATGTGACAACATTTCCCTGTTTGTTTGTGTACGATGTATACCTTTTCATTTATTTTTTCTAGCTTTACTGAGATATAATTGACATTTAACGTTGTATTAGTTTAAGATGTACAACGTGATGAATTTGGTGTATGTAAATATTGTGAAATGATCATCACGATAGATTTAGTTAGCATCCATCACATCACATAGTTAAACAATTTTTTTCCTGTGATGAGAACTTTTAAGATCTACCCTCTTAGCAACTTTCAAATGTACAATGCAGTATTCTTAACTCTAGTCACCATGCTGTACATTACATCTCCAGGACTTGTTTTATAATTGAATTTGTACCTTTTGACCACCTTCACCCATTTCCCCCACCCACTCCCCATTTTTCTTTATATGCACGTGGAGGATGGTGATTTGCTTTACCTGTAAATGTCACAGTGCATAGCAAGGAATCACAGTTGTTTCCTTTTGAATTTTTTAGGAAACGCAGTTTAAGAATAAGGTTATAGGAGAAAATGACATTACCCTTCACTGTGTTGATCAGATTTATGGAGGTGAGTATCTGTTTTCCCCTGGGGTGTTGCCAACCTTTGAAAGTATAGCTGATAATGATGAAGTTTTTTTTTTTTTTTTGGTCCTTTATAGTTTACTGAAATTTATTCACATATTTATCTTGCTTAAATTAGTTTTGTGGATGATAAAATTGAGATGTGAAGTGGCTTATTTGGGGTCACTTAGCTGGAGGAGCTTGGACTTGAACATGGAACCTGTTCTTTCTAATACCCCACGGTGCCATTACATGACAGATGTTGATTATATGTCAATGTTAGCTGTGCAGATCTCACTTTAAAGGCTCACCTGATAAAGGTCTGTCGTACCACACTCAGGTGTCTTTTCTTCTGACTAAACAAAGCCTCTCTGGGCTCCACTTCTCTCTTTTTGTAGTCAGGGCTTTGTCAGAAATCATTCAGTAGCCATTTACGGTGTTCCCAGCACCAACAGGTGCTGCGTGGTGCAAACTCTGGGAAAGGGAGGAGGGTGTCAGGAGGGGCCCCAGCCATAAACCTGGGAGTTGGCTGTCCCAGAAGCAGATCCCTAGTGATCTCCCATCTTTCGTAATCTCAGCTTTCAGAGCTGGGTTTTCTGCAGGAGTCAGTTCTGCCAACAGTGGCCAGTCCAGTTGGGTCTTGTGCTTCCTGGGGAGGAGTGAGGAACCCTGGCTGTTCCAAAGAACAGGGCCCCTGCTGGGTGGGACTGGGCCCTGCTGACAGTTACTTAGAAGCTGGTGCCTTTCCTCTCACTTGTGAGAGGCGCCCTTGGAAGTTAATAGTCTACCTTGTTTCTTTAGCATTTAATTGTTGTCTTGTAATATGATTTCCCTTCTTGATTTCATTGTTGATGTATAGTGTTTGATGAGAAAAAAAAGACTCTCTTTGGACAGCTGAAGAAATACCCTGAGAAACTCATCATCCACTGCAAAGACCTCCGGGTATTCCACTTTTGTCTGAGGTACACAAAAGAAGAGGAAGTCAAAAGGGTAACTAGTCACATGTGTTTTTAGGTTTTATTTCCCATCAGGTTTTCCCCACTTCAGTTCTTGCTTCCGTTGCACGAAGGTTGAGGGGAGCCTTTCATTCTGTAAAGTTGACATTGGTTATAATCGCATGTGCTTTGATTAGAATTGAGAGAGAATTTGGTAGAGCAGGACTATATTATCTTGGCACATGGCTGCGTTTAATCCTTCAGTTCATAATGTGTTCATTCCCAGAGCCTGCAGAGGGTGGGAGGTGGTGAACCAGGATCAGAAGGCCGTCGGGAAGGGGAGGATGGAGCAGCTAGAAGCACCCCCCTTTCCCCACCTCTGACAGCCTTTCCAAAAGGCAGCAGCAGTGACCCCCAGCTCCCGGCGTGGAGGAGTTGACATCTGGGAGGTCGTGGTCACGTGTGGAAGGAGGGGTGGGTACACGGTCATGGGCAAAGTGAGTCACCAAATGAGCCTGTGCTTTTGGTCCCTTACTGAATCTGGTTGCTGCAGCAAATTGAGACGTGTAACTGGGCAAACTGGTCACAATGGTTATTGTAGCTTCCAAGATTTCTCTTAAGATATTGAAGGTCTCAGACCTGCCACTGTCATGGTAGATACATCAGGGGGAAACCTAGGGAGAGACCAGTTTATCTGTTGTCTTTGGCTGCAGTGAGTTATGCCTTCTTTTCAGGTATACTCTTAATTTTCTTTCAGGTAGTGTGGTAGATCAGTTAGAATAATAAACATGACTCCAGCATCTGTTCTGAGCAGGAAAAAGAGTGGTGTAGACATGGAAAATTCCCTGAGAAGCCAGAAACTTTATTTTGAATGATGATTTTAGTCATCTATCCAAACATACTTTTGTTTGGAACTTTGTTCTAACAAAAAGCAGGGATTGATTGCCTTATCTTCTAGAAGAAGATCCTTAAGGCCACGACAAGTAGAACAGAATAGCTAAGCATCTTGGTTATTATCTGGTCAGCTATATATCTTTGACATGTCAGATTTTTGGAGTATCTGAAAATGGCACTTAAGTTTTTTTAGTGCTTTGTTTTTGAGAAATTAGACTATGTTTTAAAAATTGCCCTAGAAACTCAAAGCTCTTAAAAGCCTGATAAAATGGTTAGCGTTCTGTTTATTTGGCATTATTTCAAGAGATCACATCACAGATACAGACCTCAATGAGAGTTGGTTAGCATGCTGCCCATCGGAGCCCATTAGCATTACAGAAACCTAGACAACTTGGGTCTTGTCTCTCAGTGTTTATCTGCCAAAAGCATGACTGTATCCATCGCTTGGTTCTTTTCCAGATTGTCAGTGGCATAATCCATCATACCCAGGCCCCTAAGCTGCTTAAACGATTGTTTCTGTTCTCCTATGCGACTGCAGCACAAAACCACACAGGTAAGCTTTCATCCGCAGGTAAACAGGCCCCTTCCAGTTCCTACCTGCAACTTGTGGGAGAAAACCCATCCATGGGTTTTGTTCCCCTCTTCTCTAGCAATGGGTCGCCTCTTGCTTGGGTGAATCATTCAGATTTCTTTTTAAAAAAGGTTTCTATTTCTTTCCTTTGACCTTTGTTTCTTTAACTTATCTTTTAGGTTTGTTTGCTTTTTGTGAGGGATAATTTGTTTGTCGCTTATGAAAGAAATTGGGAATGTGAGGCTATAGAGAAGCAAAACTGAGACAAGTTTAAAATCACTCTGTCTGCCCCTGGATTCTGTTTTTCACTTTAACACACTTGGTTTCATTTCATGAGACCCTAAAAAATGTCTTGCATTCTAGAAAGTTTTTAAACAACCAGAACATGCTTTATAGCAAATGTTTGGGGGATGGGGAATGGAACAGTTGTACCTAAGAGAGCACATCAGACAAGTAGTTTGGTTAGAAAACTTAAAATTCCAAATGTTTTCCATTCGGTTCCCTGAAAAAGAGAGCAGTCTTTTAAGTAAGAAACTTAAGTGGTCATCTGAATTAGCTATTAATAATGCCTAGCTTTGTACAGTGTTTCCACAGATGTCTGTCTTCTTCCTTCTCTGGATCTCTCCTCCTCCATCTGTCCACTTGCTCTGTCCATTCCTCTTTTTTTTTTAATTCCAAATTATTAACAGTATTTTTATTTTTTTCTTCCAGTTTTATTGTGATATAATTGACACATTACTGTATAAGTGTAAGGTGTACAGCATAATAATTTGATTTACATGCATCTTGAAATGATGGCCACAGTAAGTTTAGTGAACATCCATCATCTCATAAAAATATAATATTAAAGAAATAGAAAAACTTTTTTTCCTTGTGATGGGAACTCTTAGGATTTACTCTAACAGCTTTTCTGTATAACGTACAACAGTGTTAATTATATTTATCATGTTGTGCATTATCTTCCTATTTGCCCATTACTCTTAACGTGAATTTGATGTTTACTGATCCTGAGTGCCATGTGCCTTTCATCAGGGAGGTGGCGTGTTAGTTTAACTGCATATATCATGCTTTCTGGAATGCAGAGTTGCTTTGTCACTAACTGCTCATTTGGTAAATGTTTTTCGAACGCTTGCTGTGGGTCATGCACCCTGGGGATATGAACAGGACTAAATCCCTGCCCTCTAAGAGCTTCAAGTCAAACAGAGCGATGTGTCCTCTGGTGGAAGGGAACGACCACGCTGGGGGAGGGAGGGCTGTCAGAGGGCGAAGGCTGGTCCTGAACTGCTGGTGAAGGATGTGGAGTGGCCGGTAGGCACACAGGAGTATTTGAGGCAGCGGGACTGGCGTGTGCAGAGGTGTAGATCTGAGACAGTAGCTTGCATTTGGGGGACTATGGTGATCTAGTAGAAAAGGTATGAATTTCCAGGTCTGTCCCACCTGAGTTCAAATCCTTGTCCAGCTGCCTAGTAGCTGTGTGATCCTGGAGATGGCACTTAACTCTTGGGCCTCTGTTTTCTCATTTCAAAAAATAGTGTTGTTAATGCTTCCCTTGAAGTGTTGTGAAAATTACAAATTGTTAAATGTATGGCACACGGTGCCGTCATTAAATGAGGGTTAATTGAGAGTGTAACTGCTTACTCAGGACAGATTATGCTCAGAGAGCTCCACTGACATAAAATATACTTAGCACTACTATCAGGCTGAACATAAAATTTGTTCCTTAATTCAGTAAGTTCATCTTTGTGAATGATCTTTTCACTGTAGCCATATGTATAAGTGCTGATTAGCTGGGTGCTGGCTGACAACAGCTTGTTGCAATATGAGATATACAAAATATGACTTCTTTGTTGCTGTAATTTACATAAACATTTATTGGGTCTACATTTGAAAATCATACTCTATTTTTACGAATTCTGCCACTTCCTTATATCCTGATTCTTGGTCTGGACCCAGCACGGGACGGTTTCTCGGCTTCCCAGCATGTGTTGATCTGTGTGCCAATACCCTTACCTTGACTGACCCTGGCAGTAAGATCCCACATGCCGTGGGACAACTAAGCCCGCGCGTCACAACTACTGAGCTCATTACCTTGTGGTGGCTTTTTGTGCCAGAAAGCCCAGGGTATATAGCATCTTCTATTCTTTCTGAATTCTAGCCTTCTTTTCTCCTTCCACCCTCCTTTTTTTTTGATGAGTAAAGGTTATAACTGATAGGTGCGAGTTGATCAATTTGCTTTTTGATTGAGTAGGGGTTTCTAGAGGTGGGTGCTTTGCAGTCTGAACATCTTTCATTTTACTCAGGCTTAATAATTCACAAATGTACTTTGGCTAAAAGGTCCTAGGAGTATTGTTACTACTTATGTCCATGGGGGAATTTATTAATATTTGCATTTATTACTTTATGGAAATTTCCTTTACTGCTGCCTGGGTTTGAATTCCATTTCTGCCATTGCCTAGCTCTGTGACCTTGGGCAAGTTAATTGACCTTTCTGTGCCATATCTGTAAAATGGAGGAAATAATATTACCTACCCTGTAGGGTTGTGAGGATTGAGTTATTATATGTAATATGCTCAGGATAGTGCCTGGTATACTAAGTGCTATATAAGCTTAACCGTTGTTTTTTAATCATTATTTATCTTATCATCCTTTGTACTGTGATCTGTTTGTATTAAAAGGAGCAGGTGGGAGTTTTATTAAACACTTCGTCTTTCCAGGAAGGCTTGCTTTTTTTTTGATATTTTTGTTTATTTTAAAAATTTGTTTATTTTTTTGGCTGTGTCGGGTCTTCATTGCGGCACGCGGGCTTCTCTCTAGTTGTGGCACGCAGGTTTTCTCTCTCTAGTTGTGGCATGCAGGCTCCAGAGCGTGTGGGCTCTGTAGTTTGTGGCACGTGGGCTCTCTCGTTGAGGCGTGTGAGCTCAGTAGTTGTGGCGCGCGGGCTTATTTGCCCTGTGGCATGTGGGATAGTTTCCCGACCAGGGATCAAACCCATGTCCCCTGCATTGGAAAGTGGATTCTTTACCACTGGACCGCCAGGGAAGTCCCAAGGCTTGTTTTTTTAAGATGTGCACAGGCTTGAATGAACTGATTTGTGTAAATACCCAAGGGTGTTTGGCACCCGTTACCCCCATCAAGCTGTTCTGTGGCTTGGGAGAGGACCAAGGACACACCTGCTGGGCTGCAAGGGTAGCGCTCCTGGGCACTTCCTCCTAGCAGGTAGCGGCAAGGTTAGGGGCAGAAGTCCCCGTCACCGTGATGTGGCCCTTGGCTTGCAGGCCCTGACCTTCACCATAGCTGTCTGATTTGTTTATAGCCCTCAGAAACCAGGTGTCACACTGAAAATGCCTCTTTTGGGCAGTGCATCTTCACACTGAAGGAGGCTTCACACTCAGCAATCTGGCATGCTGTTCAAATGAGTTTGCCATCTTATGCACACATTGGTAGGGCTAAAAATATTTTATTATTTTAGCATTTGTGCCAAGCCTGTCTTTTAGTGCTGCACAGGATCTTTTTATGTTATATAAATTATCTCATGGTCAGATGACTGAAAATGGAGCTATAAATTACTTTTGCACGGAATGGAACAAGAACAGCTGCTTTCGCCCAGCACAAAAGACAGAGCCTCACTCATAATTTTGGATGAATGACAGAAACAAGGAACAAGGTTGGGATGAAGCAGTGAGTTCATTCTGTGGGGATAAAAATGGGCTTAGTGGAGGAAGTTGGGGCCCGAGGAGCCACTTTCACACCATTAAAATACCAGGGCTTCCCGACAAGATCTTACTGTCTTTCTCAATTTGTTTTGTTAGCTACTGACCCCAAGAGCCACGCCGTAATGTTCGACACGCTTCAGGACTGGTGCTGGGAGCTGGAACGGACCAAAGGCAACAGGAAGTACAAAGCAGTGAGTGTCAATGAAGGCTATAGAGTCTGTGAACGGTAAGCCCTCAGTGTTGTGCTTTGCTTTTTGAACAGCTTTGTTGAGATTTAATTCACGTGCCGTACAATTCACCTGTCTGAAGTGTGTAGTGTTTTTTAGCACAAACACAGGGTTGTGCAACCATCACTGCGGTCAATTTTAGAATACCTTCGTCATCCCCCAAATAACCCCTTACCCCTTAGTAGTCATTCCCCATTCCCCCCCTCCCCACTGCCCCAGCCCTAGACAACCACTAACTACTTTCTGTCTCTATAGAGTTGCCTATTCTGGGCATTTCACATAAATGGAACCATATAATACGTGGTCTTTGTGCCTGGCTTTTTTCACTTAGCATAATGTTGTCAAGGCTCATCCATGTTGTAGCATATATCAGGATTTCATTGTTTTATTACTGCTGAATAATATCCCATGATATAGATATACCATATTTTATTTATCCATTCATCACTTGATGGACACTGGGTTCTTTTCACTTTTTGGCTACTATGAATATGCTGCTACAAACATTAGTATACAAGGTTTCATATGGACGTGTATTTTCAGTTCTCTTGGGTATATTCCTAGGGGTGGAATTGGTGGTTCATATAGTAACTCTGCATTTAACCTTTTGAGGAACTGTCAGACTGTTTTCCATAGCCACTGAACCATTTTTACACTCCCATCAGCAACGTATGAGGGTTCCACTTTCTCCACATTGATACTGTGCTTTTTTAAGAAACACTTAAAGTATCCCTTAGAACATTCAGCAGTGAATTTGTCTTTTCCTTCCCATTATTATATCTGTAATCTAAATGTAAAACTTTTAGAGGCATTTCTGAATTTATATCATGTATATGCTTTCCTATTATCAAGCATTTTATTTATTCATTCAATAAACATTTTTTAGTATAGATTTATTTATTTATTTATTCATGGCCGTATTGGGTCCTCGTTGCTACACATGGGCCCCCTCTAGTTGCGGCAAGTGGGGGCCACTCTTCGTCATGGTGTGCGGGCTTCTCATTGCAGTGGCTTCTCTTGTTGTGGAGCACGGGCTCTAGGTGTGCGGGCTCAGTAATTGTAGCACGTGGGCTCAGTAGTTGTGGCTCGCAGGCTCCAGAGCACAGGCTCAGCAGTTGTGGCGCACAGGCTTAGTTGCTCCGCGGCAGGTGGGATCTTCCCGGACCAGTGCTCGAATCCGTGTCCCTTGCTTTGGCAGGCAGATTCCTAACCACTGCACCACCAGGGAAGTCCCTCAATAAACATTTCTAAGGGTCTCCTATGTGCCTGACAGTGTCCTGGCTACTGGAGATAGAGCCTAAAAATCCCTGCCCTCCTGGAACTTTCGTTCTAGAGGAGGAAAATGATGATAGAATAGGTGAGTAATTATAGTGTATTAAGAGGTAATAAGTGCTATGGAGAAAAATAGATCAGGCCAGGGACTGGGTCGTGCTGGAGATGTTGGCAGGAGGGTTGGTCAGGCTGAGGGAACAGCAGGTGCAAAGGCCCTGAGGTGGAATCTTTTCTGGCTTGTGTGAGGAGCAGCGAGGAGCCCAGGGGTTGGAGAGGAGTGAGCAGGGGGCAGAGCAGTAGGAGGTGTGATCAGGGAGGAGAGAGCCGGCTGGGTGCTGATGGGCAGGGAGGGTTTCAGAATTTATAGTGCAGTGCGGAGGAGTTTGAGCAGAGGCGTGATGTGATCTCACCTACATTTTTAAAGGATGACTCTGTGTAATTCTTTTTTTGAAACTTGAATCTTACTGTTTTGGAACATAATCCTCAACACCCTGCTGACAGTTTCAAAAAATTTGTATTTTCCTAGAGCATTTTGTACTTACGATTCCGAGGGGCCTTTTCAGTAGATCAGTTTTTTGTGTTTTTTTTTGTTATTTTTGCGGTACGCGGGGCCCTCTCACTGTCGTGGCCTCTCCCGTTGCGGAGCACAGGCTCCGGACGCGCAGGCTCAGCAGCCATGGCTCACGGGTCCAGCCGCTCCGCGGCACGTGGGATCTTCCTGGACCGGGGCATGAACCCGTGTCCCCTGCATCAGCAGGCGGACCCCCAACCACTGCGCCACCAGGGAAGCCCCAGTAGATCAGTTTTGATTTTGATCAGTCTCAGACACTTACAAGGTTAGCCATCTCGTTACAGCACAAACTGGGGTGACAGTGGGGAGGGGCCTGCAGGGCAGGTGTCGGATCACACCACCCATGCCCACACTGCCCCTCCTTCCCTCTTTATAGTCACAAAGCTTGGAAAGGGAGATCAAGCGCTCAGTCAGGAGGAGGTCAGAAAGCCCTGCTCCTAGGAGGTGATATTTTGTAACGTGATGTTGACACTGATAGAAGGCATGCCCATTCCCAGGATCCTGCCACATACTGATTAAATTCATTGGTATTTGCATAGGTGTCAGCACATCAGAAATATACCAGGTAGAGAAGGTGGGTGGAGTGGGGTGTCAGGGGGTGCTAATTAGTGGTGAGCGGGGAGAATGGAGCCTCAGCAAGATTTTGCTGCTCAGAGCACTCGGTGCAAACACACTCCCCCTGGACTGCCCCAGCCATGCACTCCCCCCTGCGCTTCTGCCCCATGGGGATGATGGAGGAAAAGCTGTGCTTTGTTTCTTACCTGGCACTGTGGTAGCTGCCTGCATGGTCTCCCCCACCCACTCTGGCCCCCAGCATCCATTCTTCCTCTGCTTCATTGGCTCCTTGCTGTTCATGGTAGAGAGGATAAAACTTCTAACAGGCCCTTCGTGGCTTGCCTCATGCCTAACTCTCCAGCTTTGCGTGTACCCCTCCAGCCACCCTGAGTCCCTCCTGTGGGCCTTGCCTGTGCGGTCTGTCTAGGATGCTCCTTTTGCTCCCAGCTGAACTAGTGAGTTACCTCCACTTCATCGGTCAGATCTCTGCCCAGGTGTCTCTTTTAGGGAGTCTCCCCAAGACTAGATAAGGTCTCCTGTGAGAGCTTTCATTGCACTGTGTGCCTCTCTCCTTAGCACCTCCTCCGATCGTGAGTTTATTCTTATCTGTATCACCATTTGGTTAATGTTTGTTTCTGCAGCCCATCAGTCCTGGGGAATCAGGGACACTGTTTTGGTTCATCTTTATATCCTCAGTACCAAGTATAGTGCCTGACTTATAAGACCCACTCAATAAATTGGGAATAGTGAATAAATTAATGAAAGCCCCAGTGGTAAGAGAAGACCCCGGCCAGTTTGGATAAGAATAAGAAACTGAGTGTCTACTTTGCCTTCTCCTGAAAAGCCTTTCTTCATGCCACCTCCCTGTGAAGGTATAAGAAGGTCCTCAACCCTGTAGGGAGTGTGTAACACAGGGGAGCCTAGGAATTGATGCAGCCACAGGAAGACATTGCTGCTCTGGTGGTGTCGCTCTGGGGGTTCCCTCACCCTAACTGAGGTGGTGCCTAAGAGGATTCTACAACCTTCCTTGAATAAGGTCAGCTTATATTTGGAGAGGCTGTTTATTTTATATTCAAAACTCCTCCTGGTGACTAAAATGAGTGCTGTCCCAGGTGGGAGGGTCAGTTGCTTGTAGACATCGGGAGTCTCCCAGCAGAGCCTCCGTAGAACCACCTTGAGATCACTGGGACAGGAGGGGACATCACAAACCTCCCCACTGGTGCAGAGCTGTCCCTCTCTTTTGCAGCCTCCTTTCTTCAGTGACTGCATGGTACACACGCTAGTACACTGGGTTCTGACATTTTTTTCCCCGTTGGTGAAAGACTGTTTATAAGGCACAATTAACTTGTGAAATGTTCAACCACACTAGTAGAGGAAGACATGGAAATTTTTTAGAGCAGTGTGGCCCCATCCCAACTTTGTTGAATGAGCCTCTGGGGAAGGAGCTGAGAATCTGGTTTACACAAAGCCCACGGGCGACTCTCCTGTGAGGGCTGGGAAACAGTTGTCTGTTTGTAAGTTGCCATCTAAGGCGCTGCTTCTCATGGTTGACTGTGCAGCCCAGTCCCCTGGGGAGCTTGTGAAAGTACAGATTCTGATCCTGTAGGCCGGGGCTGCTCTCCTTCTAAGTGTCCGGGTAATGCTGCTGTACACTTTGACTAGCAGGACCTTCTAGAACAACAGCTGTCATCCTGATTACACACCTGGAGAGCTTTGACACCTCTGATATTTCATAGTTCTGCGGTGGAGCCTGGACACTGGGAATTTTTAAATCTTCCTATGTGACTTTAACAGGCAGCCTGAGTTTGAGAGCCATTGGTCTGTGAAGAGGTTTTTGCTTCAGTGACAGCACCTGAAGAAGGGATAGTAAGCCCACCCACTCAAGCGGACGTGAAAGAAAATATTCCAAGCACTTCCGAACCTCTAAAGCCAAATAATTCTTCTACATTTTAACGGTCTGAGGTATCTTAGCCTTGACCAGTTGTTCCCAAACCTGGTTTTACATCACAATATTATGGGAGCTTTGTTCCTTTTAATTACCTTTAAGGTTTTTTTTTTTTTTTAAATGGAAAGTTTCAAGCAGTATAAAGGAAAAGAGAATTTGATGAATTCCTTTTACCCGTCACCCAGCTTCAGCAGTTATAGTTATTAACTCATGGCTAGCCTCTGTGCCTCCACCTACTCCAGCCCTCCCCCTCCCCCGTCCTGCCCAACTATTTTGAAATAAATCCTAGAGCTCATCACATTTCATTCATAAATATTTAAGTTTTACATCTCGAAGAATGAAGGACTCTTTTTATAAACATAATCATAAAAGCATTATCACACCTTTCACATTTAACATTTGATTCCTTAATATCATTCAGTACCCAGTCAAGTGTTCAGATTTTTCCCATTGTTTTATAAATTTTCAAAACAATTTATTTTTCATCGTTTTATCTGTTTTATTGTTAATCAAGATTCAGTGAGGGACTTCCCTGATGGCTCAATGGTTAAGAATCCACCTGCCAATGCAGGGGACACGAGTTCAGTCCTGGTCTGGAAAGGTCCCACATGTTGTGGAGCAACTAAGCCCGTGCGCCACAACTGCTGAGCCTGTGCTCTAGAGCCCGCAAGCCACAACTACTGAGCCCATGTGCTGTAACTACTGAAGCCCGTGTGCTCTAGGGCCCACGTGCCGCAACTGCTGAAGCCTGCGTGCCTAGAGCCTGTGCTCCACAACAAGAGAAGCCGCCACAATAAGAAGCCCGCCCACTGCAATGAAGAGTACCCCCTGCTCGCCACAACTAGAGAAAGCCCACGTGCAGCAATGAAGACCCAACGCAGCCAAAAAAAAAAGATGCAGTGAGATTGATATCTTGAAAACTGATAGGTTTCTTAAACTTCTTAATCTATAGAGTCTCACACTATTAGCTTTTTCTTGCAGTTTATTTGAAGAAACCAGGCCACTTGACGGATAGTTAGTTTCCTACAGTCTGGATTTTGATGAGTACATTGCCATGGTGATTTTATTCATGAGGAAACAGACCCAGAGAGGTGGGGTAACTTACCTAGGGTTACACAGAATCAGAGGCAGAGCTAGGGTTTGAACTCAGATTCCTGATGGATTTCGACAGAGATGGTTCATCTGCACTGGTTCTTCTTAAGAGGGAAATGTGGTCCATGTCATGACACTCTGCTTAACTTCCTGTGTTCGTTGACGTTGAGCTTTCATATTTAAAGAATTAACTCCAGCACTAAAACCGATGACATCTCTTTCTTCTAGGTTGCCAGCATACTTTGTTGTCCCCACCCCTCTTCCTGAGGAGGACGTGCCACGCTTCCATGGTCATGGCATACCAGTAAGTGCATCTGGAAACCCTAAATGCGTGGCTTGCTCATTGGCCCATCCTGGCAGATTATCCTACTTAAAGCCCTTGGCTTTGGTATTAAAGAGTTTGTCCTCAGTCCAAGAGCAATCTAAAAATATCTCAGGGACTCCCTAGAGGAGCCTCTTTGATAATGAGGCTCCTGGGGTCAGAGTTCTAAAGTTTTCACAGATGCACTAGAGTTCTTAGCAGAGACATCTTTAAAGAGCTTTTGGGGGATTACAGGCCAGTGTGGTGTTGAAAGCCAGCCTAATTTAACACCTAAATTGTTTTGAGGCTGAGCCGACCCGTAAGGGTAGTAGAGTTTAAGATTCCTTTTGGCCCACACCATTAATCTTGAGTGGGCGTGGCCGAGTTTCCTCCCAGAGACGACATGGAGAGCTTACTTAATTTTCACAGAATAGACTGGGATGGGAGCCATATTTAGTGTGTCACTGATCAAAGAAAGCAAGACTCTGGCAGTTATTCCAGTTTCTGATGGGCAGTTGGGAGTTGCCAAGCCTGCAGGGAATTGAGTACAGAATGAGAATTACAGACAAATGCTGTGCTATGCACATGGCTGGTTCGCCAAAAAGGTCACTCCTGTAGTGGGAGGTGAGATGTCTAAGCAGGGGTCACATGCCCAGAAGTGTATGCAGGCCAGGTGGGTAATGAGTGTGGTCCTTGCAATGAAGCAGAGACCCTCTGCCTGGATGAAGGGCTGGCTGCTCTTCTCTGCCAGCCCGTTTGTGCCATGTGGGAATACGGGCCTGATCTTGCCAGATGTCCAGACTTCGCAGGAGAAATCAGAGGCATGGATTTTTATGTGAGTTTTCCCGATTTCTAAATGTGTGCAGCTGTTCACAACTGATTCAGATGTTTAAAAAATATGTCTTTGGGCCAGAGTTGGTTCACGTGCCACCAGTGTGCCACCTTTGATTTAGAGCAGTGGTTCTCAAACTTTCTGGTCTCAGGACTCTTTACACTCTTAAAAAGCATTGAGGGTCTCAAAGAGTTTTTGTTTATGTGGTTGTATCTGTTGATATTTGCCATATTACAAATTAAAACTGAAAAACTGCTTAATGTTTATTTTAGTAAAAAACTCATTACATGTTAACATAAAAATTTCTGTGAAAAATAACTGTATTGTCCAAAACAAAAAAATAGAATAGTACTGTTTTACATTTTTGAAAATAGAAGACAGCTACATTCTCACATCGTCTCACTTCCTTCAGTCTGTTGTGGTATATTGGGGTGTGGTTGAAGTACATGAAGAAAATCCAGCCTCACACAGATGCGTATTTGGGAAAGGGAGGAGTATTTAATAGCCTTTTCAGAGAATATGAAAGTATTATTCTTCGACGGTATACCAAAAAATTGCTAAGTGGTGGTTTCATAAAGATTAATTGCAATAAGGAATCTGAAAACATAGTCAATGAACTTTTCATTCACTGCTAAATTAAAATCCGTTGGTCTGTCTTGTACTTTGAATGGGTCTTAAAACATGAATGATTTAAAAACATAATACATTGGTCGTTTAGAAAGTATTAGCTCACTAGGTTATACAGGTCATACAAATTTTTTTTTTTAATAAATATTTTTATTTTTGGCTGCGTTGGGTCTTCGTTGCTGAGCACGGGCTTTCTCTAGTTGCGGTGAGCGGGCCATACTCTTTGTTACAGTGCACAGGCTTCTCATTGCAGTGGCTTCTCTTGTTGCTGAGCATGGGCTCTAGGCGCGCGGGCTTCAGTAGTTGTGGCACGTGGGCTCAGTTGTTGTGGCTCACGGGCTCTAGAGTGCAGGCTCAGTAGTTGTGGCACACGGGCTTAGTTGTTCCACGGCATGTGGGATCGTCCCGGACCAGGGCTCGAACCTGTGTCCCCTGCATTGGCAGGCAGATTTTTAACCACTGCACCACCAGGGAAGTCCCAGGTCATCCAAATATCGATATGCTTTCTTAGATAAAAATCATGTTTGTTAATATCATCCCTGTCTCATCAGGAAAGTCTTTAAATATTTGGAATTTATCCAGCTAAAAAGGCAGAGACTAGTTTTACAAAATTCTGATTTTTGCTTGAAAGTTCAACGTTTATCATTGGCAACAAATTGTCAGTTGTTTTCCTTAAGGGGATAGGCTCACTTCATTCTTGGGTTGTTTTTTTTTTTCCCAAAGAATGAATGTCTGCCAGATACCAAAGTCTGAACACCCGTAGTTTGTCTGTCATTCACTCTTTCAGTTACAAGAATACAGCAGGTAGCTCAGCTCTCGAGTCAGTCTCATAGGTGCTTTTCCCTGAGACAAACACTTCCATGCTTTGTTTCCACTCCATCACACAGAATATAAAAATATTAGTAGTAAATATTAAATGTAATGATCAAGATTAATATAATTCATAATGTTTAGTTCTTCATTGTGGACGTTCTGAAGTGAAACAATTATTTTTCTTCAAGTTTGTGGCAGTGAGGAATACAGTGGCGACCAGTGCTGTTGGTAGCAATACCTTGGTTGGTATCAAGGCACCCGCAGTTGTAACACTATCAGTGCCAATGTCAACACAGTGAAAAAGACAAATTATATCTTAGTAATATTCTCAGGCCACCTGTAAGGGAGGGTCCTGGGATCTGTAGACAACATTTTGAGAATGTTTTAGAAGAATAAAAATGAGGGTCTTCATCCGTCAGCCTTTCATAGATGATGACTCTAGGAGAAGGGGTATGCTCTGTGGGAAGAAACCAAGATGAATTGTCTGCACACTTGGGAATAGGCTGCTTCTCCATCCAGCATTATATGAAATTTCACTACTCTGTTCTTGCCAGGCCTTGGGGCTGTCCTGAGAAGACCTGTCCTGAGGAGTCAGCAACAGAACTTTGATAGAAACTGTAGGAAGGCATTCTCATTTTATTAGATCAGCCTTAATTATGTGTCCTGAAAGTCGTAGTGGAGCTTGTGATGCATGGACAGTGGAAAAATATTACACAAAATGGAGTTTACACATTCACTCAGGGAGCACAGCGCTCAATACACATCACGTAAAATTTACCACTGGTGACAGTGAATATGTTCACAATGTTGTACAGCCGTTATTGCTAGTCCGAGAACATTTCCGTATCTCTGCTTTTTCACCCTGACTTTTCATCTAGTCTGGTCTTTCCTGCCTCCACTTAACTCCTGTTCGGGGAAGACCTGCATCATTTGTGATTTCAGTCATACCCTTGCCGCCATTCTAGAGACTGTGGCCTCCTGGACCCTCTGCTGTACTCCAGTCCTGAGTATTTATGCTTTTGCTGCGGGGCTAGTGAACATTGCTACAGATTGTTCAGACCAAACAGCAGAGCGTTCTAATGGGATACGTGGAAACTGTTACCTTGCTTCACTTGGGCCACTGTTCTGCTCAGCAGCCTGTCAGTGACTCCTTCTGGTTCCTGTGTCGTTCTTCCCTGGGACCAGGGTAGCCATTTTTTCATTCTCTTTAAGTTGGCGATCCCACCCTTAACTCTCTTACTCTCATCGACCACCTTTCCCTTAGTCCCGAGGGGTCTTGGAGAGCGAGCGACAGGTCCTCCCTCGTCCTCCTCTTGTGGTCTCTCTGTGCTCCATAATCTCCGACCCAGACCTCTGCCTGGGCTCTTGATCTCCTCTGCCCTGGATTTGTCTTCCGTCGCTCTGCCCCTTCCGCGTGTATCTCCGGAGACTCTGCTCTCTTGAAGGATGCTCAAGTCTCCCTCACCTGAAGAAGCCCTTCTTAACAGTTGAGCGCGGGCTTGTTCTCCTTGCCTGCACTGCCTGTATTTCAGGACTGTACGGATTCTCTCTGCTTGCCTCCACCCCCTTTCCTCTTGCAGCAGGGCTTCTGCCCGCCCCCGCTCTGCTGTTGACCCTCAGAGTCACTGAGCCTGGGTGGCCCCCGTTCTCCACACCGTCAGTCCCTGCAGTTCTGGGTGAACCCCCCCCGCCCTTTTTGCCTTTTAAATTCCTTTCTTGGCTTTGGAAACACGATGTTGTCTTGGTCCTCTTACCTGCTTAGTGGTTTCTTTCCTTCTTTCTTACGCTGCTTTCTAGCCTCCAATTGTAGAGGATCCCCTAAAGCTCTTTGGCTCTATTAAGAGAGACACCTCAAGATGTACCAAATAATGTGCAAGCTATTAGGTATAAAATAAGCTGCAAGGGTATATTGAACACCATGGGTAATATAGCCAACGTTTTATAGTAACTATAAATGGAGTATAAGCTTTAAAAATTGTGACTCACGATGTCGTACACCTGTAACTTATATAATATGGTACATCAGCTGCACTTCAGTTTAAAAAAGACCAAAAAGAAAATGATCTACCAAATAATGAATAATCTCCCCCTTCCCTTTTTGTTTTAATAAACAGGATTATCACACTGATTCTTGTGTGTTGTCAAGTCATTCTTACTAAGAACCCTGTGGCTCTTTCCCAGACAGAAATTGTACATATTACAATAGGAGAAGACATATGTCTTTTGCTAAATTCCTATGAGAAGTCTCTCTCTGACTGAGAATTTTGCTTGTTTTCTATTTACTGTTTCAAACAGAGAATGTAAGGGAATTGTCCCTTTGTGCGTCAGCTGGGAGGTGCCAGTTGAGCCCCAAATAGGAAATGAGCTGTGGTTGAATGTCACCAAGAGCAGATTCTTTCTGCCCCAGGAGAGGAGATAAAAAGGCTTAAGAACACTTAACTTCCTAGAACGTGTCATGAGTCATGGCTAAGAGTGTCCCCCCCATCTCAGAGTGAGCTGCACCCAGCAGGGGGCAGGAGTGCCAGGGCATGACGTTGGAAAAGGGGGTAAGAGGGAAGCAAGGGGCCCGCTGATTTGTCTCACTGTTCCAACACTTCCGTCTCGTTAGGAGCTTACAGAGTCGGTGCTCTTTGGGCAGTTCCTCAAGCAGTTCTGCGTCCCTCTGGCCTCCCTCCGGGGTGGGCTCACGTCTCTTCCACTGAAGCTGCCAGGCAGCTCCTGTGTCCAGAGCTGCAGTCCTGCCTTCCTCTCCTAAGTCATAATCCTCATCTTGGGAGTCTCAGTATCTTCACACAGATGTCCTGTGGGCACTAGGCACCCAACATACCCAATACTGATTCATCATCTTCCCCTGAAACCCCAAACCGGTTCCTCTTTCTGACTTTCGAAGCGTAGTGCAGAATATCGCCTGGGTTTGCTGATCTCTGCTCTCCAGCCCAGGATGCTGCTGGCACACCAGTGTGTGGTCTGTACTGTGCAGATGACTGGCAAGAGGGGGCCTCTCTGGGCAGCTGAAATCCTCCTGGTCTGCCTTTGAGCCAGGGCCCAAAGGCTTGGTCAGCAGAGCAGTGCTGGGCTTTTACCACCGTTGAACCCTTAACCAGACCTTTATATGGGGCACAAAATCCACAGCCATACTCCCCGGCCCCAACCAGTCTTCCCCTCTTGTCCATTCCAGGCTCTCCTGGCAGATTACTTTGCCCCCAAATCAGTTCTAATCTCCTTGTGTTCCTATACAGCAGAGCAAACAAATGAAACTCCCACTGTATCCAGAAAAATGCCTAAATACTTGAATCTGTCACTTATGGGCATTCATATGATTTCTTTCTCTGTTGCCGTTCCTTTGTTGTTCATTGAAATTCCCTTCTCCTGTGCTTTACCACCTTCTACTTCCTATTATATTTGCAAATTTATTTCCCCTTTTAGGATATAAGCACCTTGAAGGAAGACAAAGTACCTTAGCCCTCTTTCCATCCTCTCACAACCTAATTCAGTGCCTTGCATGTACGAGTCTCTTACCAGTGTATGTTGAATAACCAGCTTTCCATGCTTTCTTGTGTGGACTTTCTCTAATGGTGGGAGCTGCCCCCTTTTGGCCATCCAAGTGGAGCACGGCCTTGAGAAGTCACTGCTGCACTGTCTGTGCAACTTGGGGAAGTTATTCCGTCTCTCCTAGCCTCAGTTCCTTGTCATTAGTGGGGATAATACTAATACCTGTCTCAGAGTGTGACTGTGAGAATTAAATGACTTAATTCGTGTAAAATCCTGAGATAATGAGTTGCACTCCAGTGATAGCTTCTATCCTAATAATCCTAATAATAATAATGATGATGATGTTGTTGTTTTTATCATCATCATCCAGGTTCCCAGCACTAAAGCCAAGTCAAAAGGTGTATGTTAGGGCTTCCCTGGTGGTGCAGTGGTTGACAGTCCGCCTGCCGGTGCAGGGGACGCGGGTTCGTGCCCCGGTCTGGGAAGATCCCACATGCTGCGGAGCGGCTGGGCTCGTGAGCCATGGCCGCTGAGCCTGTGCATCTGGAGCCTGTGCTCCACAACGGGAGAGGCCACAGCAGTGAGAGGCCCGCGTACCGCAAAAAAAAAAAAAAAAAAAAAGGTATATGTTAGACTATAAGCGAGTCTGAGTGTGACCACCTAGACCTGAGTTTCTGTTGTTTTTAAGACTAAATCAGCCTTTTTCATTATGAGTATAACACATTTATTCCTTGGTATAACAAAGTTGAATATATTCAGCTATTTCATATTGAAGGTGTACATTTCCCTGTATGAATTCAAATGCTAAGCTTACCTGTCCTCTGTTAGGTGGTTTACGTTACATCTGGAAAACCTTTATTCCCCTTTGTAGATATGGTGTTGGTCCTGCCACAGCGGATGTGCCCTTTTGAAAATGTCAGCACTGCCCAAAGAACAGGATGATGGCATTTTACAAATCCAAAAGAACTTCTTGGATGGGTCAGTACTGTTGTACATTTTGTTATTATTAGTTAGCTCAGTTTTTGTTTTCCGAGAAGCAGGGAACAGTCTTGGTGTTGGTCCATTTCACTTTACCTGCTGATAAAGCACTTAGTGCTGGGGATACAGTTTAGAGTGGTCGTCTTTAATTTGAAAGGAGTCAGCGTAACATAATCATGAAGCACCTCAGCTGCCTTGTCTTTAGAGATGCGCGCTGAAGCATTTAGGGGGAAGTGGCATGATTTCTGTAATGTTGACAGCTGTCAAATCTAGGTCAAGGTATATGTCACTGTGTTATTCTTTTCTGCTTTTCTGCATGTTTGAAAATTTTCAAAATTAAAAGTTTAAAAAAAAAACCCTAAACTGGATGAATTAAAAAACAGAAAAGGAGTAGACTTTGGAGTTAAATTGCCTTCGTTCAAATCCTGGCTCTTTCAGGTGATAAACTTTGTAATCTTGGGCCGGGTGGCTCTGCCCCTTGTTTCTGCATCCCCACCTCTGCTGGCTGGGAGCGGCAGTGGGCAGTAGTTGCCTCGTTGGGGAGGATTCAGTGGGAGCTCTTCACAGAGATCTGGGTGCCCAGGAAGTGCTCAGGAAAAATGAACTCTTTCTAACTCATGCCTGCTCTTCTAATCTCTTGTTACTTTTTGTTACCTAGAATTTATAAGACCATCCACAGGCCACCCTATGAAATTGTTAAAACTGAAGACCTGTCAAGCAACTTCCTATCCCTGCAGGAAATCCAGACGGCCTACTCTAAATTTAAACAGCTGTTTCTGATAGGTGAGAAGAATGCCG